CATCGAACTGAGTTGGTTTGGTACCTAGGGAGTTATCGCTCAGGAGTTGTTTGGCAATCAGTTTATTCGTCCGTGCCAATTTGGATTCCTCAAATTCTCAGATTGGGGCTGTATATTTAAAAAAGTCCTATTACAGCAGACAAGATAGTTGAAATCGTTTCTTCAATAAGGTGTCATCAAAGGACGGGCAAATCTTATAACCTAAAATTAAACATCGTTAAGCCTTTCCGAAACTGAACACTGGCTCCGAAGAATTACAATGAGAATTGACTTTCTATCTAATTCAATTTTGTTTCTCGCTAAAAGCAATGGAAGAAGTGGAAACATTTTATGGCACTCGAACGCCAGGTTTTAAGTTACATCAATTCGTGACAGTCAGCTTCAACTTACTTCGTCGATGCAAAAGTCGGGATAAAATTAGGTTGACTCAGAAGCGTCAAGATCTCAAAAAAGCTAGACTCCGTCGAGAAGAAATTTAACAAAAGAATGTGGAAAAAAATCATCTCAAGCATCATGTAAACAACACAGTGCTAATATAGTTAGCAAAAGAAATTAACCAAAGTAAAATTAGTTCCCAGATGACGTATTTAATATAAATTACATGTAGGAGAAAGCAAACTATGCGACCTTGCAGCTGCAAGAAATGACTTGGGTGTCTGCGAACAGAAACATTGTTTAACAAAACCGCTGAAAAAACATATCTTTACCGATGTTTGAACCCCGCAAGCACTGTTAACTCCAGTGTGTTAATTCCGGCGCCGCCTAAAACTACGACTATGAAAACGCGCTCGCTTCGTGGTTTGACAGTTCTGCCGTACCTGCAGTAGTTAGCAAAACCGTCAACGTTCGTCCATCATTTCAGTCTAACTCTATTCCAAACCATTTGATCAAGAAAATTACACAGAGGAAACAGTTTGCTTATATCAAACAGAACCGTCATCCCTATTGAACGTACACTTTCTAGGACGCTTGTAGTTTCAACTATGACCCCTCTTGGTCAATCAACTCGATTCTTTTTCCTAATTCGTTCTCCACTCTTTGTCCTCATTATTGCAATGGTGAACGCATCTTTGTTTCAATTGCCTGTTCCTTCGATTCCGCCATCCAATTTTCCAATTTTCATAATATCATCAAACACTTGAAAATAAACTGGTTACCATTCCAAACTCTGTAGAGCTAATCACATCATTCATAGAGACCCTCTGCCGGAGTGGTAACTTTCGCAAACATTAGTGATCACCTTCAGTGGTATGAGTGCTTTGAACAGCTTCCTGTGCTGTAGATTTTGCCGCAATTGGTGATGATATTAAGCTTACGTATCTGAAGACTCCCCGTGACTGGCAAGCATGAAACAGGTGAATCTGAGTTTGCTTACTCTGGCAAGGTGTACAAAGATGCACTGAACCCTTTGAAACGCAAATTCGGTCAACCGCAGACTGTTGTCTGTGCGTATCTTGACAAACTCAGTAATTTTCTGCCGCTTAAGATGCATATCCCAGAAAAAGTCATCTTTTTTGAATTCAACTGTTTTCACGCTTATGAATGATTTGAATCCTTGTCTCATTGAGCCAGTTTGATGCTGCATCTTTGTGAAACCAGGCTCGTTGTAAGCTACCACTGAACATGAAGAGACGTTGGATGATGCATGATGTCAAACAAAACAAGCACACAAATCAACGAATGGCTGCGCGAAAAAGCAGAAGCCATCAAGTGCACTCATACAAACTCGTTTGAAAAGAAAAAACAGAAAAGTTGTTTTCATCGTGGCGACGAAAAAAAGTAAGCCAGAAAATTTTCAGACTTAAAACGCAACCCATCATTGTTAATTTAAGAAGCAAAACCCTCCATATGCTTTTTGTAATTGCTTCAAATGCCAGCACAGACTTTGGAATTGCACAAATTTCAAAATGAAAAACGAAATACAGTGCGCTAAAAGTGCAACCCAACAAGAATTAAGCAATTCCTGTTTGATAAGTGATCACTTTTTCCGAAGTTGTCCTATAGTTGGACAAAAATCATTTTCAAGAATATAACACTCCAACTAAAAGCTGAACTTTTGGTGAGACCGTGTGTATTCAACCATGATTCTCGTTAAACTTAACCGATTAGTTTCAATTGTCCTGATAATCAATAGAGTTGGCTGTGAATTGAATCACAAACCAGAAAAGAAAAAAAAACAGAATCCTAATTATTTTGATGCGTTTTCTACAAGTACTCTAAGGTAGAAACGATGCCAGAAGTAGACCACTTCGCCAGAAGTAGACCACTTCCGTACCATTAAACTAATAATAAGAATATGAGGTAAAAGTATTGCATCATTTGGCGATCTTCACCCAAAGGCAAGTGCACAGTGGTTCTCTACCAGCTTCCTCTGGAATTGTTTCAAGTAGTATGGACTTGAGTCGGTTACCAAATTCTGCATCAAAAATTTCTTAACGGTCTTAGAATCAGTGAATTGTTGGTCCTAATCCGAGTTATAAATCATTTTGAGTTCTCTTACGGCTCCATCAGCTCAAAATGAATGATTTTGCAATTAGGCCGAATACCAATCGATCAACATTATTTGCAGTTTGTTTTCTGGCAGGAAGACCTCAATTTGACTTCGAAAACTTTCACAATTTTTTTGGTGCTCAAGAATTGCCAAATTTTTCTTTTTTGCACACTAGCATACCACCCAATTTATTCACGAAACTTAGCACGGAGGCGCCGTGCTTAGTTCCTAATTAGATAACTTGAGCCCAGAAGAAGTTAAACAGACAAAATTTGTCGGAAACGCTACAAGGTTGGCAGATATACTGAACTTTGAAACGTGACTTCAATTGAAACAAGACACATGTATTGAAACTGAAAAAAAAACAATGCGGCTGTCATTTGTTGGTTGTTTGCGGAGTTAATCGAGAAGTCAGAACCTCACTTTGCAAGGAACGGTTCTTAGCTTTGTTTGCATCGACCCATTTTTTTCATCAGAGTATATATAAGTGTAGGGTAACCTTCTCGCCTTTATACAATGAAAAGATAATATGGTAAGGCTCTGACTGTCATCCGATCATTACAACATAATTGTCTGATATGACCAAAACTCAAAGCAATAATAATTACCCTTTCAATGCTGATTTTTCGTTGATCTGACTGGAACGGCTCATGTAATTAAGCGCATATAAACAACATAGAAAATTGGAGTAAGAAGTGAAATCGCTACGCAAACATCAAAATTGCCATGCCCAAGCGTTATCTTATACTAAGTTCATCTGGACCCGTTGGGCGGCTGTAGGTACATGCCAACGCTAAAGAAACGAGCGAAATTGTTTTCTAGTCCAGAGTCACACTTGACAACTGAAGACCTCGTTTTGATGATTTTAGGATAAAAACCGTGAGCGCGAGTCAAGTCGTTGCATTGTGGTAGCGACGATTGCGCGATCCGTTGTTGTATGAACGTAAACATGAGATTATGCTCAATCAACCGTAAAACTCGCACTTGTTCTCTTAGGGGCGGTGTTTGCTAGCGCATGCTAACATGCCGTTCACTTCTACAACTAATGCAATAAATTAACAATTTTTTGAGACCCTTTTGTGGCAAGAGACCTCCTCAAACTAAGAAAAAATTTAATGATTGTCAACTAAACTTGAGCCTTATTATGTTTGTCTACTTAAGGGTTTAATCAAATTTCGTCAATAATCTTTTCGTTGAAATGTTCATTCTTTCAGCCAACTTCTACAGTGTTATGACGGATACTCTCAACTCTTCAGATAATTTTCAGATATTATTCATTGTTCAGAAGTTTTTATTGTGAAATTTTATTGGGTTTGCGGCAAAAGATTTTAAAAAATCGTAAAACTGGATTATTAATTTTTCGATTGTGATTCTTTTTGGACTAAGACTGGAATAGTTGAAACTAAAAAAATATTCAAGGCTGGCTGGTTATTTTTCTGAATGGCTGTAACGTCTCAATAGTTAACCAGCTATAAATGATTATAGAAAGTCTTATATGACTTTGAGAGTGTTCAATGACTAATATTCCTCTCTCTTTTGACATTTCAACTTAAATTTTGAGAAACTACCTGAAAGTTGTTAAAAAGAAATGAATTACCAATTGTGAGCAGTGATATTTTTCATATTTTTCATCTAAACAACATGCATTTAGCTATACTAATACCTAACCCAAGAAGACTGCTCGTATCTGGGCGAAGCCCTGAATGTTCCAACTGCCTTTTAAGGACTATGGCGCAGTAATAATACGAAAAGAATGTATAAAATCATTAAGTTAATTTTATTTTTCTAAATCTCATCAATCAAATAAACTCAAAGGGATAAATTTTGCTCCTAGTAACAAATCAATTATGGTAAATAAGCTTCGTTCAACCAGTTTGGAACAATTTTTAAGACGGATTACATCTCCGCTAACGCGTTAATAGCGCGAAAAATATCGCATAAAAAATCGCGAGGTAAATATCCCAAATTGGTCAAAAAGGCGATCTTTAAACCCCCATAATTTTTTTAAAAAAAGTGCACAGGTGAAATATCTTTTCAAAGTAAGCTCAGAACGGCAATATTTTTTGAATACTTTAAAAAAAATTTTGTCAAATTTGGCTAGTTAAAAAAGCTGAAGTTTGTCTAAAAAAACCACCCCGAGCCCAAATATCCTTTTACTTTTTTTGCAAAGGTCGGAACAACAGAAGCACAAAGTACGGCTACAAACTTTGACAACTTCCCTCAAATCATCACGCATTAAGCTAAACTGAAACCTTACCCAATAACAAAAGTTGATAAAATGAAAGGTGGGAAGAATCCAACGAAGAATTAGCAAAACACATGGCACAGTAAACACGTTCTCTAAGCATGCTCTCTGTGTACTGTTTGTTTGAAACCTTTTACCTGAGTTTTATAAGTGCAAGTTTCCTGTCTAATGTTGCAAGTTTTTTCAACTGCCCACTTTAACTGTCTTAGCTTATTAAAAGGGCTTAAACCTAACATGACGCGGAAAAAAATTATAAGTAAGAATTCATTTGTTTCCATTGGGTATCATTGTCATGTCACGCACTTTGACTCTGAAAAAAGGGACGTCTCTTTTTGAGTCACAAACTGATCCACATAAAATAGTGAGTTTTTTGATTTGGCGTTGTTTGGTCAAGAATTTTGCCTGCAAATCGATACTCAGAAAAAAAATCAGTTTTTTCGTTGCCTTTCTTTTTAACTTTATCGATCAAATTGTTCAGATTTAAAAATCGCTATCACAAATTGAAGTTCGGCTACCCACGCGAACAAAGTTAGGCCCAAAATTGGGCTTTTACTTTCTAAAATTTCTGTTTAACAACATTTACTTCAATTTTCATCAAATGATTTATATAGACAAGGAGCAAATGATCAGAGCTACCCTCAATGAAACTATCAATTGTTAGTTTCAAAGACTTACCGAGAAATTCCGGGCCTGAAAAGGCTAGATTTACTCATCGTCACTGAGTTTTGCATCGGAGTGAACTGTTTCTTGAATAAGCGACCTGAAACATTCTCAAAGATACAACTGAATTAATAAAGTGAAGATTTTACTAAACTCGGTTGTTTTTTTTTTCGGATTGAAAAATTTAGAGCCGATGAAGAAATCTAGCCTTTTCGAACACGGATTATCTCAGTATAACTTTGAAACCAAGAAATGATAACTTCAAAGAGGATATCTCTGATCATTTTTGCATGGTCTATGCAAGGTGCAAGAATTTTGATGAAATTTGAAGTAATTATAGTAAAAAATGGGCATTTGAAAAATGCTGTTTTAGAGATCAAACCCTAAATTTGCGCTACTGTTTTTGGTCTTTTCTCCCACAATTCAAACATAAGAAAAACTATTTTACATTGTCATAAGGTGATGAAATTTTGCATGACGAACAAAAAGCAATAAAATTAGTCAATTTGCATGCGTTCATACGCAGTTCATAAAAAAATCAGTACGTGAACTTTATTATTTGAACAAAACTTATTTGTCTGAAGCGTGCAATAGGCGTGAAAAAATCTTTACAAGCACGCTAGCAAGTGAGCTGTAGAGATAGTTTGACAACATGCTTCAATGTAGCATTTGAAAAACAAGTGAAAACCAGCGTGCACACAAATTTTTGTTTTGACTAAAGCATTTTCGCAACTCAAAGAAGTGGTATATTGGTTTTTTCTTTGTTTTAGCAAAAAAGACAACAGTAGCGGTTGGTGACTTGACTAAAGGTGGGAAGTACAAGAGGATAAAAGCAAGCAAGATAAAAATTCATCAATCGTTAGTCAAATTTCACCAATCAAGTTTCATTAAAATTACTCACAAATCAAGTTAATAGTATTATTTTCTATTTCCTATCTCTAGTATGAGTCTCTGTGTGGATTCAAAACTGGTGTATGCTAACTGTTGTTTATTCAATGGGCAAAATAAAACCATCATTGTATTTTTAATTTATTTTCAATTGGAAAAAAAGTTCCCGATAACCAATTGTATTGAAACTTCCTAAAGCAATGAGTTGATAGAGATATTTAAGTTCGTATCATTTTTAGATGTCAATGAAATGTTCTGACAGTGCTTCATTGCATAAATTGTGATTAATATAACCAGCTCTCTACAAACTTAATTACGAGATTACAATGAAAATTTTATAACTGGCTAAGAGCGACATCAAAAGGTTCATGTTTTGCATTTTTTTAAGTATTAGGTTCAGTATTTGTTATTACTTTGATTACAGTTACCTAACATTCGGCTATTTGATAGAGGCTTGAAAAGATAATAGTTGATATCAATGTTTGGTTTACAGTAAGTAAGCTTCTGTTAGATGACTAGTATTAAAAGTATTAAAAGTGATGCATCGCCGCAGCAGCGCAATATGTTTATGTGTCTTGAGCGGGGAGGGAATGTGTCGATTTTTTTAGGTCGAGCAATTTAAGTCAAAGATCAATTTTGAACTCAATTACTGTTAAAGTTACGGGTCTTATGCACTAAACGGCCGAAAGTCATTTTTTCTACAAGCTGGAAATTTTAGCCAATCAAATTCAAGTTACACGGTCCGGCATTCCGTTCAATTTCCTAGCAGATAAAAGTAGTAGCCGAAATTGCTGAAAAGGTGGAACTTTGATTAAAATTATCAAATTAATTTTGAGTCACTTGTGAAACCTTGCCCAGACAAGCAAAATTCAGTAAAACGGCTTGACAAAGCAAAATATAATTTTCTTTATCATTTCGGCTAATAATTGTATCTGCTTGAAATTTCAATTGAAATGGCAGAAATTGTCGATGGAACTTGATTGGCTAATTAGCCAATCAAATTCATCCACAAAAATTTCAGTTCAAGAAATGTAGAAATAATGAAATTGGGCCGTTTAGTGCATAAGACCCGAAGTTACTGTTGGGTACATGTGTACAGATAGTACTCCTGTACTAAAGTATCATAATTCAATTGATAGGTTGCCTGAAAGGCTAAACTTCTCAATTTGCTAAAGGGCTCTTTTATCTGATTTAGACGAACACCCGGCGTTCGCAACTTATGCTCTAGTTATTATTAGTTAAAGGTCAGCCGAAAATTGATATCTCAAAGTAGTACAAAGGGGGGGACCCTTTGAGTCGGCAGGTGGGCGAATTCTGAAAGAGAAAAGACAAAAGGCCCCCGCCCCCGCCCCCTTTAATTTCGCTACTGGTTAAGATACCTGTAAAGTCTCAAAGGATCGAATTTTTGCTTGAGTAGATGCCGCCAGGTCACAAGCATTGATCGATAGTTTTCAAGTACCAGTTATTGTAATTCCCACAACGATTAAAATCAAAGTCTTAATGCTAGCACACACGAGTTTACTCAAATTAGGCTTTATACCGTTATGAAGATTTTGGAGAACTCATTGGACGAGAATAATATCACGCCTGTTGGGTATAATTTTTATATGACTCAACTGTTTTGTTGAATAATCTTGGCTAACTGACCAGATAAACAGCTGGTAAGAAATGAAGTTTCATGACCTTTTTAAACAGTTTGTTAATCATACTGCTGGTAATGAACGCACCCGGTCGATTATACATTCTAAAAATCTTAAATATTGCGAAAGATACAACGAGTATAAGCTAACTATCGATAAAACTTAAAAAACGTGGGTACATTGCGCCGAGTCCTTAAGGGTTCTTCGAATTAAATAACTTCGTCGCGTTACTGTACCGAAGCTGTAAATCGAATTGAGCTCCACTTTTTTGGCGATAGCTTGTGCAATGTCGTTTTCTGCGTTGCCGATTTTTCGACAGGCACGACACTCAATTATCTTTTATCTTCGGCAGAGCATTTGTTGCTCCGATGCAAAGCGCCATCAAAACCCAAGCTAGAATTTCAAGCTTCTCTGCTTGCCACACGTCTGAATTTTGAAAGCAAAGCAATTACAGTCAAAGATCAATTTTGAGAGCAATTACAGTTAACGTTACTGATGGGTACAAGTGGACAGATAGTACTCCTTTACTAAAGTATCCTAATTCAATTGATCGGTTGTCTGTAATCGTCTTCGAATTCCTTTAGCCAACCAAAACTGACGACTGTTATGAAAAATTAACGGTGATGTTTTACTGATACCGGTACGCGGTGGAATTCAATTATTGACAAAAATTGGTTTGAACAGTCCCTCTTTTGAGGTCTACTTTCGTCAGTAAGGTCGAGCTAGAACAATAGTTTGATAGGGATAAACTCAGTCCCTTTGAAACGCTTTAAGAGAGCGTATCTTTTATCGTCGACTGAGACTTTCGGACTTCAAAATGCGGAAAAATATTTGGGGTATCGTGCCCAGTAAGATTGCTAGGTTCTCTCCTCTGCTGGAACTGGCAAGTATCATCGTTCAACCGGCCGAACTATTTGCTAAATTGAGGCTGAGTTTGAGACGGGGTAGATAATTTTTCCGGATTGGTTTTCTGGGACAGAGTAACTAAATTTTCCGGAAGGCTGTTCATTTTGAGAATCATTAATTAGACCCCAGTTTATACGTGATGGGCTTTGAATAGTTCATCAAGCGCCGGGTTTCACTTTGCACTATCTGGGTACAAATGATACGAAGTTTGTAGGCTCGGAAAAGGAACTACTTGCTTGCATCAAAACCTGGAACATGACGGCGGCAGTTTTTGCTTGGTAATTTTGTTTGAAGGTTGAGCCCATCAAGCGCATCCAGTCATTGTGGCCCCTGAAAACGCCTCGCTCTTAGCATTAAGCGGATCTTCTATGATTTTGCAGGCAGTAGGAGAGTTACTGAAGAAGTGTTAGGTGCAATACTCTGTCTAGTTTGGTACAATACTCTGAGCAACTTTTTATTGCAAAGCATCTCAACCTAAAGTAAAACCTCTCGCCCGCCATGTAAAGCTGAACTACGGCAAAAACTAAAGCGCACAACCACAAGCGAGCTCACTAGACCGACCGATAAAGCTTGTTCAATGACTTTTTTGTTTGTTTTAAAATACTCCTGAACTTTTGACTCGAATGAAACAGGTGCACTTCTGTTGCAGCGCTTGAATAAAGCCAGAATTACGAAGTTCTGGCGAATTAGGCATGAGTTCGCTTTCCACCTAGATTGTACTCCTCACGAATCAATCATATGCCAAAAATGGAGAGTAAATTACCGGTTGTAAATTCATTTTAATAATTCAGTTCAAAATGTGAACTTATTTCAACAAAGGAGTAAGCTTTGACTCTTATTTTCTGGTAATAATCTATAGTTTTGTTCAACTTTACAGAATTAAATGAACTGAAAACTTATGTTTGAATCGTTCAAAATTGATCACGGATACATGCTGGAAGGAAATAAAATAATAATAAATAAAGTTAAAATTGAGACATTTCTTGTCTTGATTTTTTCGATTCATGTTTCCAAGACACTCTCCAATTTTTATAGAGTTTAGTACATTTACTGCATTCTTTCGAACTGTAACATGACACGGAGTATATAAGTATTAGATCAGTTACAGTTCTTGTAAAGTTCAATTGTATTGGTCAAAAAAATTGAATAGATGGGCAAACCAAATGAAGAACCATAACTGTCGAAAAGCCAAACCAAAAGGTTCACGAAAAACGAAAGAAGCATAAATTGTCTATCCTTGAATACCAATATTTCAAAGGTTTATATTAGAGTTTTCATCATTTAATTGACTAGAATTAACAGATGCGTTACTAGTGAAAGGTGCTACTATTTTATGAGTTTGAATTTTTTTTACAGTGCTTAAAAACTTAAGTACTGATAGTAAAACAAGGATAGGCATCGGGACTCAAGTAACCAGTATGTGTCAAAAAATGAAGATTTTTTTTCTAAAAATAAATGATGTCACAAGCAACAGTGTTTGATGATAGTCAAAAACCAAAAAGTTATGATAAATAGTTGAAAGTTTTTTTTTCTTCAATCATTTCGATGACTAATTATCTCGGGAGGGGATAAAAGTGCGCGTTGAAAAAAAAATAATTGCGAACAAGATCGAGCACCTAGCTTTTGGCTCTTTAGTAAATCAAAAGTTTCAATGCTAGCTTTCATTTCCAGATACTTGAAACATTCAAAATTTTGAATTTCTTTATATCTAGGTAGAAAACAAATTATATGTAAAATATTAGAGCAAAAACACTAGAGAAATTGCGGGTGTGATGTGGGCGGTAAAATTAGGCAATCTTTTGTAGTAGATCAATTTGAATATCTAAAATGGTTTGAGCGAAAAGCAATCGCTGCCCTTAATTTTTCTGCAAAAGTGGAAAATCTAACCGGTTTTCTTCGACCCACCACAATGGTTCGACCTGTTTTGCTTTCTCGTATAAAGGGACAACTCCAAGCCAGAAAACAAAATGGCTCCGAGGTTTCGAATAAAACTGTTCTCTTTGAATTACTTTTTTTTCTTGACATTAAAAGTCTTGAAAAAATCCAATGCTGAAGACAAGCATTTTATCAAACTGTCTATTTCAGCTACAAAGATTTTCATGCGGATGACATTGCCCTGGTCAAATTGTCTAAGAAAGCCAAATATGGTACAACAATCTCACTCTGCAAGAAAGACTACTACAAGTCGAAGAAATACAAGCTGATCGTGGCGGGATTGGGCCATGACTCGAAGAATGGTTTTCCGAAATATCTTCAGGAGGGTTTCGTAAGAGAAAC